TAGACCGTGCTCTGAAATCAGGATGTTTTATTCTCCTATGTGTGAATATGCAGTATGAAGTTTCTCTAATTGATTCGCTTTGCCCATTCCATTTGATGTATCATTTTTCACAATATTTCATAATTTGTGCTCATTTCTAATGAACAGAGTCGTTAGGACAGGCATGTCTAAGTACAACTGACAGCTAACATTAGGTGCCAGATGCAGTTTATAAAGCTATGTAGAAATCTAGAGAACAGTTTAAATAAATTAGCACCTGTACATTAGTCTCACTTGCTAGTAATTTATAAGCGAATCAGTAGAGATGACATTTAGGTAAGTCATTGATCAAGTTAACAGCTGCATACCCGCTGCCCAGCTGGGATACCTAATTAATAGAGATTGCAGTCCTGACCTAGTGCTTTTCCCTGACTTGAGAACATAATCTTTTTTATTTTGTGATTTAACTTTTAACATAAGAAATAAAGAATTATTTTTGAACAGTCAAATCCTTTAACATTAAGCAAATAAAAAGAAAGCTGAAACTTAAGTTTTAAGGGAAATAATGCTTGATTAAATATTGCAGAATTATATACAATTTGATACAACTTTTTTATTTGTTTTGCTCATTCCATTTGATCTACCATTTTTCACAATATTTCATAAGCATTGAGCATTGCTTTGGATGATATTATAAGTGTGCCCATATAGCTTTCTTGGCAACAATATAAAAATGGTTTGTGGTCTTATTTCAGGATGTTTTTTTCATCTTGGTAATCTAATCTGTAGTCCTGGGATTTCTTGAGGGTGGTCTCCCATCAAAATATTAACTAGGTCTAACTTTATGTAGCTTTTCAAAACCAGCCAAGCTTGGCTATGTGCTGCCATCACTTGGATACTGAATTACTGTGAGATTGTGAAAGACCTTAGTGGGTTAGGGGAAGATCAAACTTCTTGATTATTAGAGAAAGATAGGCCATTTCCAGTGTAAAAAAAGTTTTAAGGAACTACTTCATTCACAAATGCTTGCTTCAAATAGTAAAGAAAGTATGTTTTTTTCTCTTTTTTTAATGGCAAGATAACTTTTTTCCAAAAGGAATACAACTCAGGAATTGTTATTTATGTTGAAAGTGTCTTTGTATTGTATTACTAGTGATAAAGCAGTATTTTTCATTGCTATAGTTAACTTTGAGAGCATTGGAAAAACTGTGGCCTAATTTTAATACCTAGATTTCAGAATACTATAAAATGCTGGTATGTTTTAAAAAACACTTTTAATGTTATCTTTTGAAAATATTAATGTTATCTTCACAAGATTGTGTATGATAGTAAAATAATGCATTTAATAATTCCTAGTGCAACACAAACATAATATTTCAAATGCATAAATGTTCTAGTATAATCAGGAAGGTAATTTGGTAATTTTTGGCATAAAAATACCATGCTTGATAAAATAAAAGTTATAAAGCTCATCTAAACTATATTGTCTGATACAGAATAGTTTGTGTTTGAATAGGAATTGTATATAATCATTTTGAAACAATATCTGTTTTTTCCTCCTATTACTTACAATTCCTGCTTATGCTAATTTCCTGTGAAATCCCTTTGAACTGTCAAATTACAACAGAATTTACTTTAAAAACAGTTATGGTCTCAGTGTATATTTCTCTTAATAGATGGGCCAGAATGAATATTTCATTACTGATATATATAATACAGTATTGGTTTTAAATATATGAACTCTTACTTAATCGTTTCCTTTTCTCTCAGTAGTTTAATCCAACTATACATCCATTGCTAGCTTTTATTTTGAACTTGAGATGAAGGAGTCACTTTATTTGGACTAAGATAGTATGGTATTTAAAAAAAAAAAGAATACTGGTTTGAAGTTGATGAGGTACTGTGAGAATGGACAAAGCCGGAATTACTTATGAAATTATGGTTTGAGCTCCATGGCAAGTAAAGAAAAAATAAAGATTTTAAATAAATATGTGCACAAGAAGTTGCAGAAATTTTCATTACAAAATGTACTGCCCTTATCATAATAGTAGCACAATTATAAAGTTGGCTGGGCTGTAATAAGAGTTCTTAAACTGCCATTGTACTATTACTTCACTTATGGTCAATTGACTGTGGCAGAATCAGACATTTTTCTGCAGGTAAATTTTCTATGCAGCTATCTCAAGTGCTGTTAGATTAGATAAAAAAGAGCCTTTTGCATTTATTATGCAATATCTCAAAAGTATTATTTAAAGTCAGAGCTTGCCAACCAACTTCCCTATTGTGAGTCTAACAGGAGATTTTTGGAAGCTCTCAGCCAAGTGATATTTGCTTAGTAGATATCCATTTTAATCACTGGACTTTAATTTTCAGGAAATGAGCAAGGTGATCATTCCCTGATAGGGAAATTGTAGTAAAAAGTGACATGACCTGCAAAAAATCTTAATTAATGATGTATTGGTCATTGCCTTAGGCTTGTTTTCTATGTCTTTAGCATATATGCAGATATTGGGCTATTCTGCTTTAAATATAGCAATGTTGCCGTCAGGAGTTTTTGCTTTCATAGCTGAGATGATTTGAATCATCAAACAGAAGCAAATATAGAGAAGACTACTTAGGTATACACAGTTGGTCCCAATATTCCATAATATATTCTTTTGACATGTTGCTTTATGTGGTGTTTAATATCCGTTGGCTCGCTATGGGTTTTTCTATTGTCATTATAATTAATCCCCATTTGTTCACAAATGGATGTTCACCTATTTTGTGTATGTACAATATCCCCATTGACTAACAAATGGGAATTCATCAAGCCACTAAGAGAATCAAAATACCCTTCTATAAAATCAAGCTAATCCTTTTTGTTTGCTGCTGAGTTCTCAGAATCCCTGTTTGGAATGCCAATAAGATATTAATAAAGTAATAGGTGAGATCTTTATACACTCCACACATATTAAGTAGGCTGACAGTGCTGACAAACTAGTCTGTGTCCACAGAAAATACTATTGATAAGAAATATCCTTGAGTTAATATAATTATAATGCAACACATTTCTTCAGAAAAGAAAATATTAACTGCTTGCTTGAGTCTATTTCTTATCACTGTAGATAATTTTTTTGTATTACTATTTCTTGACACAATAGTTTAACATTCATTTTCATAATGAATTATACATGATTGTATATGACTGCGCTATGTGGATATCATGGCATTACAATAAAAACATTTCAAAATAATTAACAGGTGTAACAAATGATCATTCAAGCACATCATGCTAGTTGCCTCAATACAAAATCCTAAAAATACACAGCTTTCCTCACAGTTTTTCATGTACTATGCTCACAAGGAGCATGTAGTCACCCTAGGTCTTTATTTATTTTATCCTTCAAAACAACTAAACATTTGTCTGTTGTTGCAAACATTTGTGGGATAAACTGGTTAGTAAATTTAGTGTCCCCACCCCACCTCAAATAAAACTGCCTCAGAATTGTTTCCTTATTTGGTTCCATTACTTATTTGGTTCCATTCCTATTACCTATCTCTGTTGACATAATAACTTTGAGTAACAAGCTTGCTCATCAGAATCCTCTAATTTGCAAAGTAACAGATTTTATTAACTGTACAACATTGAAATAAAATTAAATCAGCCTTCTTATAACTCCAAGTGAATGAATTATTTTCTTTTATCTTAGGAAAAACTAAGACTTTTCAGCTTCTTTTAAGTCAGAATTCAGTTGCCTATTGAGACAGAGCAGCTTATATATTCTGGTTTTATTTATTTTTTTCTCCCTAAGTAAAGCAATTCTCCATTTTGTCAAGTGACTTCTTTAGAATCCCTTCAGATAATTGTTAGAAGGGTTAATTTTTTTTTGCCTCTATAGTGGAACAAACAAGCTTCATATAGGAGTGCAATAAAAGCTTAAAATTTGAAATAATTCAAATTCATGGTTGTTTGAATTTCAAAATTTTGCATTCTAGTAGTTACAAGCTTGTAGCAATCCAATTCTCTACCCATTATTCAGATTCTTCAAGTACTTCTGTGGTTCAGAGAATCTACATTTCTAGTCTGTTGATTGACAGTACATTGCTCGAATTTTCACACAGAATTAGTTGTAACAGTGAAAATCACCAGAATCCAAAGGATTCTGTTTTATAGACAAATGGAGGCTACCAGTCAAAAGAGCCTTAAATTATCTTGAATGGATTGAGCTTTCCTGCTTTTCTTGCATTAACATTACCTCAGTTTTATAAATCAAGCTTTCTCAATAATCCCACTATTTTAGTAGGGAAAAAGTGGAGCTAAAATTTATGCCTGTCTAGAGAATGATGACAGCAATGATCAGCAAAGTTTATATATAATCCCTGTTATTTTAGTTGCATGGAAATTGTGTAAAACTCCTAAAATTTCACAGAAGTCTTTATCAGTGATAATGACCATGTTTATTTTCACTGAAAGCACACCCGAAACAAAATAAGCTAGCCAGAAAATTTCTTATGGGTTTTCAAAAAGGAATTTATTTCCTTCTCTTCATTAAAGAATATATTGGGGAATTCAACTATATATGTTCCTTTATTAGAAGGACAGTACATGAATTAATTCTGATATTTAATATTACTAGATAGAACTAACAAGCAAATTATGTAAGAACTTGAAAATAGAATTCTGAAGTTATGATCCAATGGTAGATAATTTTGCGGTTAATATTACATTGATTAGATTTCTTATTTCTGAACAATGATTTTTTTCACTCTTAAATTAACTTTTGATTTTGGAATGTTAATGAAGTGAATATGCATTTGAATATCTGCTTTAAATGTCTCATTCCTTCATTCTGAACTTGTGTCAGTATCCCACACCTGTTATTTCTTTTTATACCTACTGTCACTTAGTGGACCTACAATTTAAGTTCCATTATCTATTAATTGAAATAATAATTATATGATACCAAAAGCTAATATTCTAATAGGAAGCTATGATTATCATTATGTTTTTAAAAATCTGATTTCACTTTTGTTTACAGAAAGCAATTGCCTATTTATTTCCTTCTGGTCTATTTGAAAAAAGGGCCAGGCCTTTGATGAAGGTAAGAACATTATGCAGTGCTATCAAAATCAGAATATAACCATCTCAGTACAGTAATAATTATATTAATAAACTATTTTTTCTCTACTTTAAACAGCACCCTGATGAAGTGTTTCCAAAAACAAGTGGTAAGTGGAGATTTGCACATGCTTTGTACATGAGGTGGGTTCCAAAGCACTAATACATGTCCCATACAATGTCTGGTCTGTCAACTTAAATTCTTGATTTTTCTTGTTCTTGTTTATTCAGATGCTTTGGAAAGTCTCTAGTTATGTTTTATTTGGGATAAGAGTATTGTATAAGGAAAACACTCCTAAGATCATTCACATATGTTGTATGATTGTTTAGATTTTAAAAAATAAATTGAGACAATTATGCAAATAGTAAATGTTATCTCTTTCAGATACAAAGGATGTCCTGTTTTAGGTGTAATTCTCTTTGAGGTGGGGGGATTGTATATTCGCTTAGAGTTGTATAGTTACTGCTGTTTATGTTTATATTTCTTCAGTTATTCAATGGGATGAAGATGGTCGTCCATTTAATTTTCTCTTTTATACTGGCAAGCAATCATACTATTCTTTAATGCATGTAAGTGGTTTAATTTTTTTTCTCCTGAAAATACAATGTACTTATTTAAATTGCAATATTCTTTTGAGGAAAACTAATTACCCAATAAGGAATTGATGGCTTATTCTCCAATTAAGCTTTGGTTTGGTTCCATCAGTATCAAATAGATCTAGCTATTAAAAATGTAAGGATACGATAAATGAAACTTACACCTTTTATAATTTTTTTTATTTTGTTCATCAATATACCACACATTTTCAGCCATTATAATTCTATTTAAAATATATAGTATTTTTCAATTGAAAGCATTATAAATATATATTTATGAAATTCTTATAATACTTGAATATTTAAACATAAATTCAGATAGTAGCTTGAGATTTAGGCACACAACAGACCTGCTTATTACTTCTGTGGTGGTTTGCAGTCAATCTGCTATATAAATGAAAAGTGGTGGATTTCACCATAGTTGAGGCTGCTCTTTTTAAAATAAGATGTCTAGCAGAGAATGACAAGGTGAAAACTAAAAATATGAGAAGTGGGTTGAAAAAAAGTTGAAGGAGTAACCAGGGAACAAGAAGGAAGACACCAAAAGTGCTACTCATAGTTCTTGACCTACAACCTTTCAGTTAGTGATTGTTCCAAATTACAACAGTGCTGAACAAATGGTGGTTACAACCAATCCTTTTAATTCAGGCCATCCCACCTATCATGTGATCACAATCTGTGCCATGCAACCGGCACACAGATTTCTTTTATGTCCAATTACTAAGTACCCTGCAATACATGATTTCCATTTGCAACCTTTCGTGTTGGCTTTCTCAGAAAGTCAGTGGAGAAGCTAACAGAGAAAATCACAAGTTCCTGGGGTAAGTTTCCCCCCATCTGTGCATCTTTCTCAGCCACTCTGTACTTGCACCATGTCAGCCATTGTGTGATGGATTTCAATGATCAGTCATTGTGCAGGGTGCCAAGATGTCTGACCACCTATGTGGTATTTATTATTTTATACTATTTTTACAAGCAAAGAGTAGCATAGATACAATATTTGGATTGGAGAATAGATCCCACATGGGTGAAACCTCTCAACCACATTGGTACAACCTCTCAACTTATCCTTAAGACTAGTGGTGATGTTAGTAAATGAGATCACCTATATATCTGGAAAGTCCGGGACTTTCCACCTTCACCAAGATAGGAAATGAGATCATGCAAGTAGCCAAGAGGCTCTAGATAGGTTTTTAGACACTGCAGTTTGCTGCTAGCATCTAGCGCCATCCATAGGATCTCAGTAGCTACTACAATTGTGCACCCTCCATGATCCGTGTGATGCCTTCTTGCATCCCCTTGCACCCTTTTCAACCCACACAGCACCTCTCATACACCCCCTTGCATCCTCACCATCCCTTTCCTGGCTGCCCACTCATTCTCCTCACCCTTTTCCAACCTGCACCTCTCACACACACTATGCGTGTCCTCTGACCTGCGCTGTGCTTCTCATACCTCCCCAACCTACAAGGTGTTTAAAGCATACCCCTTTGCTCCTTCCCGAAACTTTCATATATCTATGCTGAGCCTCTCACTCATTCTCCCTCTCCCACCCCTGCACACACTTCACTCTCTCCACCCATCTTGCAATAATCATTTATCTGCCTGCAGGCCTGGAACTTGCAACTACCTGCCAGTTTTCCCCACTGCCTCTGATTGTGAGAAGCCAGCAGTAAGTTGCTTCACCAAATGACTTTGGTATTCAGTTAACAATGGCTAATGGGACTACAGACTTTGCCATCACCAAGCTAATCATGCTTTAAGCATGTACTATTCATGCTTTACAACTGCTTTGGATAGCAATGGAAATTTTGGTCCCAGTTGTTGTTGTAAGTTAAGAGCTACCGATAGACAGTCTTATATGAGAGAGAGCTCTAAAGAAAGTGAAGAACATGTATTATGGTGTTCTTAACTTTTATTAGAGCATTCCGAAGCAAAGCCTTAATGGACAGGATTTGCTTTAAAAGCTTACTATATAGCACTTGCAAGTAAATAAACAAAAAAATTCCATCTTAAATTTCAGTTGCAGGAGAATTCTCTTTAAAGCCTTGATCTGGGGCTATAAACATCACCCTGCAGCAACTTTCAGTTCACCACTCTGGCACTGCCCTTATGGCTCTTTGGTTGAAGAGATAATATATTAATGGCTCTGCCATCAAAAATACTGATAGAAATCTTCTAATTCCATGATTGGTCATTAATCCCTATTTATTCTATTTTGCATTTCAGTTGCTTTCTTCAGGTGTTTTCATTTAATAAGTTATTAACTAGCATATGGCCTTATTTTTCATTTGAGGGTTTTTTTTATTAACTTGGAAGATTATAAAGAAATCTGAATATGCTCCTTCAGTATAGAGAGAATCTGAAATTATTTCTGCAGCTTTTCCTAAAAGAAATGAAAGAATGAAAGAACTATCTCTTTTTAAAGAAACAAGCAAATGTTTAATTATAATTTGTTTTCTTGTAAATTAAATGAATTTATCTAGCTTTGGAATGACAGAAAACCAGTCTTTATTTTCTTCTTTGTGACAACTTTTCAAATGCTTGGAGAATGATATTGTACTCATACTCAATCATCTTTCCTAAAGGCTAAACAAGCCCAGTTACTTCAACTGTTCTTTGGAAATGTGATGAGCATTCCCTCCATTACTTGATCCAATTAATAATAGAAGTATCGAAGAATAGAGAAACACAAGCTCCTTCTGCTGTTTTCTGTTTAGTCTTCATTGATATTACTGGGTTCTGATTTCATTATATCTTTAAAAAGAATCCTTGGCATCCATATTTTAACATTGCTTTCACTTTATTAAAATCTGCTTTTTTAAGTCCAATATTTCATTTGATTGTATTCAGTTGCAATTTCCTTTTAAATCTAAATAAATCAGGGTTATACTGTTTTTCCTCCCACTGTTCTCACTACTGAACAATTCCTAAGTGGGTTTCCACTGTACTCTCCCTGAACTTACTTATCTCAAGGTGCAACATTTATTGCATTTGCACAATATATGCATTTGTAAACCTTAGTCCACTGACTTTGGGAAAACTGAATCAGTATTGATAGTTACGAAAAATGAAATGCCCATTTTACTGAAAAATAAAGTAATTCTTTTCAGCATAGTGCTGCTGTCAAAGACTGCTTCTCTTGATACTAGGTGCTGTAAGGGTAAAGGTGCAATAGCATTTAGAGGACTTTCTCTGTGAAGAGGATTATTTTCCTGTGTTTTTTGGAATTATCTTCATTTGTACTCTCTGCACCCAAAGGACAAAATCCCCACTTGTCAGGTACATTTATTTTTTTAGAAGGAGAAGAGAGGAATTTTTTTTCTCTTTTGGTTGACCTTGGGCAAATGAGCTTCTTGCCCTGGCAGAAATGAAATGAATGATAAATGTAGAGGGTGTCTTTGCTGAGTAATGGAGCTGCAGCCTAGGCTTTCCAGAGAGTTTTCTCCTGCACAGCCTGAGGCAGCTTGAGGACCCCTACTGTTCATTTAAATAGGTATGTCAAATCTGCCTTGAAACGCTGCTGGTTTGATCTGTGGTAATATTTGTGAAGGTTCCATATGGACTTGAGCCCCCCTGCAGTGCTAAGAAATAATGTACAACGCTTCATGGTGCAGACGCAAATTTTCTCTGAAAAGGGATGCAGCGCTGCGTTTTAGCTGTCGGAGAGGATGATGGAGCTGACGCACTATGCCTGTCAACTTGTTACACGGATGGGTTGCACGCAGAGAGGCTGTGGAAAATCTGTGCCTTTTAGCTTTTCTACTTAATCACGGTTGTAGCATTGCCTTTAGACTGTATGCTACATTAATTCTCTTCCTGCCTTCTGCCTTTCATCCCAAGTTTCACGGAAAAAAGTAAAGCATGCAGGTCTTGTAGAGGGGCCTTATCAAGCAGCTGTCATCTGACAGGCCATTTGCATTTGTTTTGGCTGAAACAGAGCAAGCCAAGGGCAAGATGTTTTGTTGCATTCCATCATAATGAAGAAATTATAGAAAAATTACAGGGAGTACAACTTCTTAACATTCGTAGCTCTTGCCTATGAAAAAAAACCAGTGTTGGTGATTTTCCAGATGCAGTCTTTTCAAGTGACCGGGCTCCCCATTTGATTAAATGTTTCTTCATTTGAAATTTTTTCAACAAACAAAGGGTAATTATGGTAGGATATTTATGTCGTTGCTTAAATAGTATCAGTGCATTTAGAAATATTTCTGTTAAGAAACGGATACATACTTTTATCAAGCATGATTTGTCATGCAACTATGCACAAAGTACGAATTGCATATTACCCTCAAGCTAAGAGATACCAGAAGCATATTTAAGTTCAAAACCTTCAAATAAAAGATAATTTTAATTTGCTGTGCATTGATTAGACAAACCTTTGACATTGTTTATCATTTCTGACATACTGTATGCTATTTTTCCTAAATATATGAGCATAATGATACCTCTAACTGAATGCTTTAGCTATTTATACAGAAAAAAATTGTAAGATAATAATACTAGACTTCTTTGGAAAATCAGTATTAACCTTTAACAACTTAATCCCTATCATTTAAATTGTTATGAAATACAATCTGGAGAATTTTGACCCAGCATTTGGAGTATAATCTGTATAGGTCTGGGATGCGTTAGGTTGGAGAAGTTAGCCTACACCAGCCACTATCCTTGTTCTGTTTCTTATGTAACTTATATGTTTGAGCTCATAATGCCTGCATACTTTCAACAAGCTTCTGCTGAACATTGGTTAGTACAAGCCACAAATACTCATTTATTTAGGCAGAACAATATTATTTGTACTAGCCATCTTATTAAGTAACAAGTTTAGAGATGCTATTCTCCTGTACCATGAAAAGATACATATATGGCTATTATGTGTATGTCATAGAGGGATTGATTGATTGATTACCATCAAGTCATTTTTGGCTCCTGGTGACATTTATTTTTTTCATGATAATCTATCCCTAACGAAGTCTTTCAGGTATTCCAGTGGTGCACTCATCACCTCTTTAACTGAATTCATCCATTTTTCTTCTGGTTGTCTTCTTCTCCTTCCACCTTTTCGAGTATTGGAGCCTTTTCCAGTGAATTAGGTCTTTGCACAATGTGTGGAAAATAGGATAATTTGAGTCTGGCCATTTATGCCTGTAGTGAGAACTATGGGTTGATTTGTTTGAAGATCTATTTGTTTGTTTGTTTTTGGGCTGTGCATTGTATTCTCAGAAGTTTTGCCCAACACCAAAGGTCACAACTGTCAATAATCTTCATGTCTTGTTTCTTCGAAATCCAGCTTTTGTTTCCATAAAATGTCAAAAGGAATAGCATGGCATGCACAATTCTCACCTTAGTAGGTATGGAGACACCGCATTTGAATATATTTTCCAAGTCTACTCTATAAACTGCTAGTCTACAACATATTTTTAAGAGACAGAAATATCTGTTAGTATCTTTGCTTATCTATTTTGAAGAAGTTAACATACATTCTTCAACTGTTTCAGATGTGAATGCTTCCTACAAGTTAACCGCTGTATATTTTGTTAAACTTTTTCAGATAACATGTATCATTATTGTATGTTGTCTGTTCTGTTTGCTTCTGAATAGTATTTACCTGCCTTCTTTATAGTGTTTTTAATATATTATGAACATTCTTTTAGAAAATTTGGAAATTAGATATGAAATGACAACACAAGTAACATTTTCTGTATTGAAATATACTTCAATAAGATGTAAAAACTCTTCAAATTATCTATAGTTTGTGTTCATTGTTTATTTAACAATAAGGTACTGTATATATCATGAAGGTGATGAACTCTATCCAAGATACCAAGACTTTTTAACCTACAGTTTGAATACTTTTATTTCGTAGCCAAATGCACATAATATTATAACACAGCCTGGGAAATCAGTTACCATGGATGTTTGGAATTACATGTTTGAGTAGCTTGGTTTATTTATTTTTTATCAAGATGTTTACAGCTCATGTCAGTGAGAAATTTGGAAGAGGTGGGTATATATTTGATTCTTCATTCAGCCAAAGAGCTCATTAAGCAATTGGGGCCCTCATACTTTCTCAAAGAATTGTGTGGAAATGAAATGAAAGGAATCCTGATATACACCCCTCCGTAGTTCTTGGTGGAAAGATTAGATATGAATGCAGTAAATGAATATGAAAATTAAGGGACAATTTAGCAAGGATACCAAAATATATTTAGAACTTATAAAAACAATTTGATTTAAATAACAAATATTCTGGATTAGAACAAAATTTTACTTCAGCATTCCATTTGCAAATTATTCAACTATTTAAATTCACTATTGAGTCATGAGTACAGTAGTATTTATCTGTTTGTGTTGTTCATTAGTTAATAATCATGTAATCCTGATTAGTACACTTACGCTATATGGAAATATAGAAAAGTCACTGCCTGATTCCATGTGTGCAAGTGGGAAAATATATTTTCCAGAAGTTGAGCTTCTATCTTATAACTTAACAAATTAATCTTTCTGTGGAAATTTCACAACTGGAACTCATTTATATACAGTATATTTTCTGTATTCTAGGAGATATACAGTAAGCTACTGCACATTCAAAATTATCAAGATCAACTGTATGCTCAAGGATTGCTTTCTGAAGATAAAGCACCTATGTAAGTTGTCTTTGAGATTATAATTAACATAGAAGATAGGTATAGATCAGGGCTGTCAAACTCGCGGCCCGGATGTTTCACATGCTGGCCAAGGCCATTCCCAGTTTAGCGAAGGGGGAAAAAGTCACAATATGTCACATGACGCCGCCGTGATGACCCGAGTTTGACACCCCTGGTATAGATGCATTTCTATATATTCATTTCTATTTAAATTTCCATCATTTTGTAATGAAAAAGCATATTTGATTATCCCTCTGATGGATCCAAAAGGTGATATGTGATTTGGCCAAAGTCTTGGACCATAACATCCTTATGTGGCATATCCCTTTTCACATATCTGGATCTTTGGGAGATGAAGTTAAGAAGAGAGACCTAAAACAACATTGGAGGGAGTCTTGGAGAAAGCCTGATTTTATGCGTAGGAACTCATGTTTGGTTACATTCTAGTAAAAGGGTTAATAGGTTTTGCCAGCGGGCCTGGGGAACCCAGAGAGCGATGGAGCCCATCAAATGGCTAGTGTGCTCTGCTGTCATCGGGGCAGGGGGTGGGAGTTGGTTTTTTTATTTTTTGTTTTGTTTTTTGTTTTCCCAAATTTTGTTCTATTGTACTTTACTAATTTATTTAATTCTTTTTTGAAGTTTTTATTGTTTTTATTTTTTGTTTTAAATACGGTTTTACATTGTGTAAGCCACCTCGAGTTGCCATGGGCGAATAAGCGTCAATATAAATAAATAAAATAATAAATAAATAAATAAGGATGGCAAAATGAAAGTATTCACCCTTACTGCATCTACTGAGGGTTATCTGTTGGCCTTGTTTAGGGTGACCTAGTTTCTGCTGGAGAAGGAGGATCATTTGTGGGGCTGCTGTGAAAAACACAGTATAACAATTTGGCAAGCAGTCCCTCAAATCAGCTTGGAGCTGAATTAGGCAGATTAGGTTGAAATGCCTGAGGTTTACTCTTACTGTATGATCTGGGTTGAATGTGAATTGGGGATTCTTGAAGGAAGTGGAAAAGATTCTCCGAGCTGTCAGTTTGACTATCCGTTAGGTAGATTCAGGTTGTTGGACCCCTTTGTTGGAGGAATCTTTGAACATATTGTATATTGAATGGTAAGATGCTGTTACTGTTTTATTTGTTTAATGTTATGAGCCACCCAGATACATTTTAGATCTGAGTAGTGCCTAAATTTAATTAGTTAAGTAAATTAAATAAATATAGTACTTTAGTTACATCTTTTAACAGGGCTCCTATAACAGCTGTAATTGAGGAAGATCAAATTAGTTTTGATACATGTGCATTTCTATAATGCTTTTTTATATCATTAGGCATTTATTGATTTATTAACATTTATACGCCATCCTATTTATAAGACTTTGGGCAGCTTACATAAAGTTATGGGAAGTGATATAAGAAAAAAGAATCAATTTTAGGAGAGATTCAAATGTAAAAGCATAGATATGAGCAATATATTAGTGGTAAAGTGTATGATTTCTTGGAAAGGAGATCACCTAATGGATCAAACACTGAACTGGCATAACTTGTCAACTTTTAAATGCATATTGTACTCATCGCAGAAATAACTAGGGAAAGTTACCGTATATACTCGAGTATAAGTCGACCCGAATATAAGCCGAGGCACCTAATTTTACACAAAAAAACTGGGAAAACTTATTGACTCGAGTATAAGCCGAGGGTGGGAAATGCAGCAGCTACTGGTAAATTTCAAAAATAAAAATAATTAATTTGGGAAACGATCTCACTATCATGAAAGGTTTAATTGATTCACTAACCCAAAAGAAGAAGATGATGATGACAGCAGGAGGCAGGAGTCACTTTCTTCCCCTCCCTCGGAGGCCCCCTGAGTCAGGAGTCACTACCGCCGGCGCGGCCCCAGTCCCGCCGCCTCGGGAAGGGAAAGGCAAAGCGCTTTTTGCTTTTCCCTTCCCGGCTGGGGCTGTTGGGAGTCGCTGCCGCCGGAGGCCGCGACTCCACACCATTTTTTTTTCCAGAGGGGAATCTCACTCGAGTATAAGCCGAGGGGGATTTTTTCAGCACAAAAATTGGGCTGAAAAACTAGGCTTATACTCGAGTATATACAGTATGTCTTCATGGGATATCCTTAATTTAAACAAAAATGTTTATCTCAAAAGGATAGCTGTGATATTATCTTTGCCATGTTTGCAAAGATATAAGAGTTTTAGAGCAGATAAATTCCTAGCATGTGGAATTAGAATTGGGCATTTTCAGAAGGATTAATAATCTCTGGTTTCAGTATTGGGCCTGTTGTTGAAAGAGAAATGTAAGAAATATTGGTTGAGGAGAGAAGTTACTATTAAATAAGCTAGATGAATGATTGACAATGGATTACAAATGAAGAAAAAAATACACTGCTCAAAAAAATAAAGGGAACACTTAAACAACACAATGTAACTCCAAGTCAGTCACACTTCTGTGAAATCAAACTGTCCACTTAGGTAGCAACTCTGATTGACAATCAATTTCACATGCTGTTGTGCAAATGGAATAGACAACAGGTAGAAAGCAGAGGCAGTTAGCAAAACATCCCCAATAAAGGAGTGGTTCTGCAAGTGGTGACCACAGACCACTTCTCAGTTCCTATGCTTTCTGGCTGATGGTTTGCTCACCTTTGAATGCTGGCGGTACTTTCACTCTAATGGTAGCATGAGACGGAGTCTACAACCCACACAAGTGGCTCAGGTAGTGCAGCTCATCCAGGATGGCACATCAATGCGAGCTGTTGCAAGAAGGTTTGCTGTGTCTGTCAGCATAGTGTCCAGAGCATGGAGGCGCTACCAGGAGACAGGCCAGTACATCAGGAGACGTGGAGGAGGCTGTAGGAGGGCAACAACCCAGCATCAGGACCGCTACCTCCGCCTTTGTGCAAGGAGGGACAGGAGGAGCACTGCCAGAGCCCTGCAAAATGACCTCCAGCAGGCCACAAATGTGCATGTGGCTGCTCAAACGGTCAGAAACAGACTCCATGAGGGTGGTATGAGGGCTCGACGTCCACGGGTGGGGGTTGTGCTTACAGCCCAACACTGTGCAGGACGTTAGGCATTTGCCAGAGAACACCAAGATTGGCAAATTCGCCACTGGCGCCCTGTGCTCTTCCCAGATGAAAGCAGGTTCACACTGAGCACATGTGACAGACGTGACAGGGTCTGGAAACGCCGTGAAGAATGTTCTGCCTGCCTGCAACATCCTCCAGCATGTCTGGTTTGGCAGTGGGTCAGTAATGGTGTGGGGTGGCATTTCTTTGGGGGGGCCGCACAGCCCTCCATGTGCTCGCCAGAGGTAGCCTGACTGCCATTAGGTACCGAGATGAGATCCTCAGACCCCTTGTGAGACCATAGGCTGGTGCGGTTGACCCTGGGTTCCTCCTAATGCAAGACAGTGCTAGACCTCATGTGGCTGGAGTGTGACAGCTGTTCCTGCAAGACAAAGGCGTTGATGCTATGGACTGGCCCACCCGTTCCCCAGACCTGAATCCAATTGAGCACATCTGGGACATCATGTCTCGCTCCATCCACAGATGCCACATTGTACCACAGACTGTCCAGGAGTTGGGGGAAGCTTTAGTCCAGGTGTGGGAGGAGATCCCTCAGGAGACCATTCGCCACCTCATCAGGAGCATGCCCAGGCATTGTAGGGAGGTCATACAGGCACGTGGAGGCCACACACACTACTGAGCCTCATTTTGACTTGTTTTAAGGACATTACATCAAAGTTGGATCAGCCTGTAGTGTTTTTTTCCAGTTTAATTTTGAGTGTAACTCCAAATCCAGACCTCCATGGGTTGCTAAATTTGATTTCCATTGATAATTTTTGTGTGATTTTGTTGTCAACACATTCAATTATGTAATGAACAAAGTATTTAATAAGAATATTTCATTCATTCAGATCTAGGATGTCTTATTTTTGTGTTCCCTTTATTTTTTTGAGCAGTGTATAGTCTTTTCTATATTTGTTAAACTAAGAGGCTCGTCTGCCTCGGGTCAGATTGGATTTAGAAATGGTAGTGAAAACTTTATTAAAACTTCACATCTTTCCTTTTGGGTGTGGGAATTGTAATATGAGTGTTATTAATGTATATATTAAAATCCTGTAAAAAATGATGGCTAGATTTTTAATTATTAACTTTTTAACAAATTAACCTGCTTGCTAAGTTTACAACTCTAGCTTGCATTTCCTCCTGTACGGTCTAGCTGCAATCTTATCCTTAATTGCATGATTAGTTAAAAGAGAATATATGTAATATTTCAAACAGGAACCTGATTGGCAGCAGATGGCTGATTAAAGAGGAATTGGAAGAAATGTTAGCGGAAAAACTGTCAGATCAAGATGTGAGTAATTAATCTCCTTTATTTAATGAACCCTGTATCCTAACGGAACAGTTAGTCGTTGTAAGGATTCTGAGGAAAAAATTCCCTGGGACATGGGAATTATGCATATTTTTTTGTTTGAGTCTCATAAGAACACATCCCTAAATGGTTATGAGATGAAATAGTTTTATGTATGTTATTTCAAGAATAGGTATGTTTCCCCAAATTATGAGGTAACTTAACATATCTTCGTCAGAATGGTTCCACTTCATACTGTGCAGGATGGTGGTTCTCCTTGGATGGATATTAACATGGCTTTGTAAACACACACACACACCCTGAAAAAAAACCACCAAATGCTCACAGTATCTTAGGGGACAAGATAACTAAAGCCTTGTCTGTGACCTTTCTCTTGTGTCCAATGAGGGATTTATCTCAAGGGAGAACATTCAAATATGTAATTTGTTACTCGGTTTAAACATGTCCCCAACAACCAGATGTAATTATTATTATGTATTTTGTCACTGCCATATACAATCTGTTAAATGACTAGTTTACATCAGCAAATCAATTTAAGACTATGTCCGTTTCTATTCAAGCTTCCTTTCAGCAGCATCTGATGCGGGCTTGGACAGTCAAAGTAGTGAGCAGTATAGCATGATCAAAGCCTCTTTTCACATATGATGCAATGCAGATTAATAGGGGAGGCCCTTTGAATTTGACTTTGTGGCCACCATCTTGACTTCCCTCTGGATACTTCTGATCCCTTTATTGTGACCAGTGAAAACCATGTTTGGAAACTGTCTCACATTCTTATCAAAACTGTAAGGAAAGCCCATGCGTTGGATGTTACCCCATATAAAGGAGCAGGTGGATAATGAGATATCAGAACTAACAGGGTTGGCTAGTCACATGATCAGTTCACCCAAGGCAGGGGTAGGGAAACTTGGCTCTTTTATCACTTACGGACTTCAACTCCCAGAATTCCTGAGTGAGCTATAAAAAGTTCCTCACCCCTGGCCTACTGGTTTTTCAGTTGTGGGGGAAATCAATTTTTGACTTGAATGGGACTGTTTAATATACAAATGTATGTATATTATATATAGATATGTTCTACATTTGTATATTAAACGGTCCCATTCAAGTCAAAAATTGATTTCCCCCACAACTGAAAAACCAGTAGGCCAGGGATGGGGAACCTTTTATGGCTCACTCAAGAATTCTGGGAGTTGAAGTCCGTAAGTGATAAAAGAGCCAAGTTTCCCAACCCCTGACCCAAGGCAAGCGATTATGTTGAATAGATCTTGATAGTTTGCCACTGGGTTACTTGTACTGAAAAAACAATGTCATTTTATCTCTATTGTATCCATTTAGGATTTCTTTCTTTTTTAAACTTCTACCTTTGCTTCTCTGCAAACAAAAAATAAGCATACAGAAAGTTATACTTTTTGAGACCTTCAGGAAATGTTCCTTTATTTCTTTCCTTTTCCCAGCCCAGGCTGTATAAAATGACATTAAACCTGAATCTGCTTCTTTATTTCTTGTGATTGGGAGGCCCTGTATTACTTGTGAGACACTTTAATCACATGCTCAAATGAAAGCAGTAAAATTTATAGTAGCAAAGGATAATTATTTTAAGAGGTTGCCCTTTGAGTCAAGTATCTCTTGAATTTGGAAATACCTTGATTGTTTGTTTTTAAAATCAAGTCTAATCCTTTTTGAACAACCAGTAGCATAAATGCACACTTCCTGTACCTATTAGGAAATAAAATCATCTCAAATCAAATCTTTATTACGGCCACAGACTTGGCATAAAAATAATCCAACAAGTAGAATTTAGAAAACAATTTCCTTAAATGAATTAGGACGTTTGTCTCTTACCACTTATCCATCAAAAATACTATTTTGAGGCCCACTAAATCTCTTCTTGAAAATCACGATTGATGTTAATGAAGTTAGTCTGACAAAGAGTTTGCTTAAAGTTTTGAGCAATGGATTCATTAGTAGGGGGCAGGGACAGAATTAGGTATCTTTATTCACATAGGAAATGATACATCTGCATGTTGTTTTGAAAGCAGCATGCAAATACAGAAGTGTCATCTTGTCAAAAGTTATCAGTAAGAACAGAACTAAAATGATCAAGCAGGTAAAAATAGAAGTTGTTGACAAATGCAATTACACTTGCACCACCATCCTTAATGAATTTTTATTGTCTACAGTATTTAAGATGTATTCAGCTGCTGGAAAGATTAGTAACGCTGCCATACTGTGATATGGAACAAGATTACCTGCTTAAATTTCGCAAGGAATTACCTATACAATCCAAAAAACAATCATTTGAACCCCTAAAATATGATGAGCGAGGAGTGGCCTTTAGCACTGCAGAAGGTATACTTTTTGTTACATTTCAAAATTAAATCCTTGGCAACCTGAAAATCCAAATACTTCTCAACATTAAGCTACATGTCTATAAAGAAAAAAAAAAATGCTGTCCAAGTCCTCCAGTGATATTGCACTGTGTTCTATGTGGTTATACTTGTTTCATTAAATTAAAAACAAAATAGTTAAAATGTATTCTGTGCATCTAACTTATTTGGCATATGTATTTAAGATGGTATATAATATTGCATCCACCTTACATCATGAGGTGGTCTACTATAAATTGCTTTTCATACAGATTTTTCAGTCTGGTAACAGGCAACTTAAATTACTTCACTGGCTTACTTTATCAGACTTCTTTGACAATATGTGTTTTACAATCTCAACCCTAGGAAGCAGGCAATGGCAAACCATTTCTGAAAATTTTTCCTAAAATCCTTCCAAGTTTAGTCCAAGCAGTAGCCAAAAGTCAAAAACTGACTCGAAAGTATACAGTATGTTTGTGTACTGACTCACACACCGAATTTGTAGTGTATATCAAAAATAGTTTTCTCTGCATTTCTGTTCAAATACTGTATACTCTAAATCAAACAAAAACTATATATCAAAATAATTATTTCTTTTAGATGCCAGTTGCCATTTTGAATTATCAGGGTATGCCTCCCTCTGCTGGGAGAAAAAGGGAAATTTAACAGTGGCAGTTTTGTAAAACTATGTCCATTGTATTCATTCCCTTTTCTTTTACAGGGCCCTTTATGATAAAGAATATTGCCACTTACTGTTTGCAGAGATATGCATACATTGTGGAAAGATGTTAATATATCCTGTATGCTATTTAATGGTACCACTGGAGTGCTCTCCAGCCCTTCATAAATTTGGAATCTAGATTAATTTTGGGTATTTTAGGCAACTTTTCCACTCCCAAAACACAATTTTAGGCTTAGATCTCCTTGTGTTGCATTTGGTTAGGAAAGATTCTGCATAACATCTTTGGAATTTTTGCTAGAATTTCCCTTTCAAAAGATAGTTTCATTTTTGTTTAGCATTTTGAAATGCCATATGTGTAGATGCAAAAGATGCTAAACATTTTGAAATGCTGAACATGAAATACATGTACAGAGATTTTTTTTCTTTTTAAGGTAAGAGAAAGTCTGCAACAGCAACTGCTACACTTCATGCAAATGGAAATGGAAAATTCACTATAAACGGAGATAATTATTTACTTTATTTTCCAGTGTTGCAGGACAGGTGAGTGTTAAAAAAGAGAGAACTTTTTTTTGCTAAAACCATTTTTAATGGTATTTTTCTAAAAAATGTTTTCATGTATTTTTTTAGTTTTAAAAAAATCTTCAGAGTATCATATTTTCCTGCTGTATAATCAAATTTGAAAACTTAAATATATGTGAAAATGTTACTAAAACAATGATTTCAAATACTTCGGAATATTGGTACCTCAATATATCTTGGACTGTAATGCTCATTGTCTTTAGTCAGTATATCGGTACAATCTGAAGATCACAAGATTGTAATCTACACATTTGGGAAATTCCTATTGAAAAATAATAGATCTTTAGAAATGTGAACTTTATTGGGGGCAGTAGGATCCTAAAATTTCTGGGTATATGAACTAATAGATCCTAATCTAATTAAATTTAACTACAGGTTTACAGTAAGAATAGACTTCTCAAAAGTGTGTGTTTATATAAAAAACTACCAAATTGAGCCAAAGATATCCATTTGCAGATTACTCTGAAAAGATGACAGTTTTATTGTATGTTAGTTTAGCCTCTTCTGAGCACAAGTGCATTTTCCTTTGCAAGTGTTGACACCTTGCATCATTCTAAGCCATGTCAGCCTTATTAAATGCCTATGAAATTGTAAACAAAGAGAAAAAAGATATTTGTACAGCCTGTAAACCATGATTTGATATTAGTAAAACCTATTTGGCTAAGGAAAAGAGTAAGTCTGGCTTAGGGAGTCTGTCCATTTTTTTGTTTTGTTTATCTTTATTTCTCATAGTTTCTCTTGCAAATGAGTTTGCTTAAGTATTACTTTAGAAGCTTTATTTGACCTTAAATGTTAACAATATAATCTCCCATGCTGTTGTTCTATTACTATACTCTGATAACTGTAGGCATTTTATGTGGATACATTTAAATAAATAAATTATTTATAGTAAATAAGCAGTAGGGCTGTGGGAGACATTTTGAATTTAGATTCTTATAATTGAAACAGCTGGTTTATGTTCAGAGTGGCTGTTTTGTTCATTCTAGAAGTTTTGCAAGCTCAAATTCAGAGCATTTCTAAGTTGAGACATGCACACCACCCCCGAGTACAGTAGTCTTTGACTTACAACAATTCATTTAGTGACTGTTCAAAGTTACAATGGCACTGAAAAAAGTGACATGACTGTTTTTCACACTTACAACCTTCGTAACAGCCCCATTATCATGTGATCAAAATTCAGGTGCTTGGAAACTGACTCATACTTACGGCTATTGCTGTTTCCCAAGGCCACCTTTTGACGAGCAAAATCAATAGGAAAATCAGATTCAATTAACAGCCTTGTTACCTACTTATCAACTGCAGCAGATATGTCAAACTGGCAGCCCACAGCCCGGATGCATCATGTGCAGGCCAAGTCCACCCTAGCTCCGCGAAGTGAAAAAACATAATGATACGTCACGTAATGGCAACATTATGTCGCGAGTTTGACACCCGTGAACTG